CCTTCCGGTCCCCCCCCCCCCCCCCCCGATCACACGAGTCTATGAGACCTACACTTCTGAGATGGGACACGTGCCCAGGCACGTGTGTCTGCAGCCCCCTGTCTAATGCCAGGCGCATGGTGCAGTTTGTGGAGGGAGTGTGGCTACGGGTGGGCCACCTGAGGGGCACGGGCAGCCCCCTTCTAGGACCTTGGGGGGAGGGGGCGGTCTGGCAGATGTTTGGCAGCACGGGCTGGAGGAGGAGGCGGCTCATTAGGAGGTTGCTGTGGGCAGAGACGGGTGGAGGGATTTAGGGCAGCAGGTCCGGAGGATACCTGCCACCTGCCCGCCCACCCGAGGGGTCGTATCTGCTGATGGGAGGGGTGGGCTTGGAGTCCTGTGGGGACCGGTCTGTATGTGGCATCCGCGAGGGGCCCCGTGGGCCCCGCTTGGATCGCTTTTGCCCAAGTTGAGGTTTTCTAAGCAGAGGCATCCCCACTCTAGTTTTTAAATGGAACGCGTCTGAGTGAAACCATTGATTTGGGCTGTTTTGTTTGTTCTGTCGTGTAGTGAGTGTTTGTGGACTAGATGAGTGTGCCAGGTTCTGTGCACTGGGGATGTTCTGTCCCGTTCCCCGCCCCGCCCCCTGTGGGGGACGCCGTGTCAGCCAACCAGCTGTGACACCTCGTGACCAGAAGGGGGCGCAGTTGGCCCAGCTTGGGAAGCTGCTCAGGCGCCCGGGCCCAGGGACTGCGGTAGAAAAGCCTTGCTTGGGGTGATTCACGGAGACCTGGGTCCGGGCCGTTTGCTGCGGAACTGCCCTTGGCGGGGCCAGTGCGGTTGCCGTCATGGCTGCTGGAGTCGGTGCCTCTTCTTCCCCTCTTCTTCGTGTGGGTCTTGAAAAAGCAGGGCTTTTAAAAGCCGTACATGCAAATGGGCAGGCCAGGATCCTCTCTGCTTTAAGACATTTGACAGCGTCCAGTGACAGAGTTATTTGGCAAACTGATTTTGAGCAACTTGTTAGCGTGACGAATGTGTGGCAGGGGCTGGAGGAGCCGGCACGGGAAAACCGACTGGGGACCAGGTGCAGGCAGGGCTGGAACCCGAGAAGGGAGTCGTCTGTCGCGTGCAGCTGGTGTGCAGCCCCAGGCAGGATGGTGTTCTCCCCACCCCTAGTGTCGGGGCTGCGTGGCGCGGTCGACCTTGGGGGCCCACGGGGTGGAGGGGGTGTGGATGCCGAGTGTCGAGTGGGAACGGGGCTGTGGGCGCAGGGGGGAGTCCTGGCTTCTTACGGCCCGGTCCCGGGTGGAGAGCGGACGGGAGGTGCGGTGGGGAAAGGGTTAGAAGAGGTGCTGTGACGGGGTACGCCCCAGCTCTGTGCTCCCTTCCTAGGGTGCCTTTCGTCTTTCGGTTCATGTCTGCCAGAGCCCCCCTGCATCAGGAAGGAGGGAAGAGCTTGGGGGCCGGGGTCACAGCACTTCGGTTTGAATCCTGCTGCCGCTGACTGGCTCCGTGATCTTGGGCAAGTTACTTTTCCGAACCTCAGCCGACGTAATGCAAAGTGGAGACAAGATAATTCTGTGTGCCTCGCTGGCTTTTTGTGAAGAAAAGATGAACTCCGGACGTGAGCTCTGTGGGGCGGCGCCTGGCACATCATAGTAGGCACTTGCCGCGTGCTGCCGAGTTTGCTCCCCCCCGGGAGTCTTGTCCCTTCCTTACCGCGTCGTGGCGTCTCTTTCTGCCTGTGTAGCCATGAACCAGATCTGCTACACCTCGTAGATTTTAAGCTTCTTGAACGTGGGAACCGTGCCAGACCCATTTATATATTATCTTTAGCACCTGGCACAGAGTTTTGTACATGTTAAGTGATCAGTGAAGACTGAAAACATTTTTCTTGGATTTTATTTCCAGCCTTTGGGGAAGGATTTTCTCTGAAGTGCATAGATTTTATTCGCCACTAGGGGGCACAGTAAGACTTAATATAAGCTCACTCAAGCTTCTAGAATGTGAAAGAATCCTTGATTCAAGGTAACATTTACTGAAATATGACTTCTTTTCTGATCAAGAGAAAAACAACACAATCCATCTGATTAATCTAAAGAGCGTGGAGTGCTACAGTTCCTTCGTCTCCTTAAAATGTAGCTTTGGAATTCATAAATTTCAATTGGGTACATTACAGTGGAAAGATCCTTATTTTAATATGTTCTAAATGTTCTGTGAGCTGTAAAATATGCTTATATTGGTTTTGAAAAATTTACAGCTGGAGAAATTAAGTAAAATAAAACAATGACTCATAACTCCGCACGGATGCTCTGTTTTCTTTCCTGATGATCCCTTCCTGCCCTTGTATGTAGCATGCATCTGTTTCTCACAGTTGTAATCCCAGCACGGATACCCTTTTATATACTCTTTTCATTTCCCTGTGTCCTCATTTGGCTCGACACGTTTGAATACCCACCGCACGTAAAGGTAGAATTGAGACTTTGAAGCCCTTGGAAGAAGTACAGACATGGCCTGCTGCAGCTGAACACAGGCAGCCCCCACTGTCGGCCCCGTACGCGGAGCCCTCTGCTAGGCACCGGATGAATTCTCAAAGGCCCATGACATGTTTCCTGCTTCCAGGGACCACCGTCCACGCATCAAAATCCTGGAGTTCTGAAGCACAGAAGGATTTTAAGTAAAATGTATGAATTAGGTGTTCGTTTGTTTTACAAAATGGTTTGCTTTAGGAATTCTTTCGATAACAGGCTTCCCTATGATAGTTAAACCTTTCCATTTCGGATCACAAACGTAATGAAAGCTTATTGTGAAAAACTTTGAAGGTGCAGAGAACATGAGGAGCGAAGGCAAACACAGCAACCGTGGCTGATCCTAACCCCGAG